AAAAAAAAAAAAAAGAATAATTAAGAAATAAAAGTTAGTTGTTACTACAAGTTTAATTAAAGTTCTGAGCTAATTTCACAGTGCGACTTTGGGTCCTTATAACAACAGATCTAGAGTCTAATTACTGTCATACCAGGTGGCCTGCTTTACATCTAATTGCTTCCCCTGAGCCTGACATATGCCTGGAAAGTCAACTCTGTTTCCAGTAGAATATGATTTTATTATAGATAGGAAAAGGATAGAAATAAAGTTGCTTGCAGCTTACCTTGCTCTTGTGCATTGATTGTGCTCTGAAGCTTCCTATTGGAATTTTGAATGACAAAGTATATTGATATCTTTTCAAACTCAGGTCTTCCCAACTTTCACACAAGTTTTATAGGAAGAGGACCTGGATAGATAGTTCAAAAATAGATAACGATGAGCAGTGTTTAAATTAAGACAGTAGGAAGAGGGAGGATAGGTATTTCTAAATTTAATGGTAGTCAAAATAGACCTGCTCATATTTTTTACCCAGGACAAAACTCAAACATCCTTTACTAAAAACATAAAAGGAAGGGTTTTAGCAATACGTAAATTAGGTTCAGCATCTTCAGTGATGGTTTCTTCTGTTAAACAAGCAGCATGGAGCTGTCTCCTGCTTGAAATCCTGCTTTAATGCACACGTCCATATGGGGTTGAAGGGTTATTCTGCAAGAGAGTCTGGACCTGTAGCAAAGGACATTAAAGAAAAGAAGAAAGCTTTAGCACTGATCGATAGTACTTGGAAGCATAAGGATATATAAAGCTGAAGGCAACCTCTTATTTTCCCCATGGTGAAAATAGGATGTTTGGCTTGTATAAAGAACATTAATTTAGTTTTGAAAGTGTCAAGAGCGATGCAGACTGAGGCTGGACACAAAGCACAGTTGTATCAAAAGACACAGTTACTTCAACAGAAAGAAAATGCATTGTTTTAAAGGGATTTGGATCAAGTCCAAGACTCCACTGAGCCAGTGGGCTTGTAATGTAAGATTTTGCAATAAATTATTAATTATTAGACCTCAAATAGGTATATTGTGTGAACTTAAAAAAACCTCTTAGTGTTTCACTGGCATGTCTTAATAGTTTTGCTGTGGGCAAATCAGGGAAATTCCTTCTTTCCTGTCTTTCTTTGGTAGTTCTATTAGATGGACTTCATAACCTACTCAGTATTCTGCTCAAGGCAAATGCAATTGTGAACAATTTTTGGCCTGGAATACAGTGAATTTAAGCAGCAAGCCTGATATTTATTTTCAGAGTCAAAGGATTTCTAATGATGTACTTTGAAAGAGGGTTTAAAAAAATACTAAAATAATTCAATTGTAATCTTACCACTGCCACTAAAATGTGACCATTTAAACTCTTTTTACATTATGGCTAACTAGTAAACAATTATTCCTCAAGATACAGAGTCTGAGGGCAGACCATGTTGAAACCACTTGAAAATCAATGGCAATATACTGAGCTCCTGTTAGGCTATCTGAACACAAAAGTCTCTGTGATAAACTTCTCTTCTTCCCAACCACATCCTTTCAGATCAGACACATGCTTTAAAACTATTTCTTTTTTAGCTTGGAGAAAGAAAACAGCACACATACTAAAAATGTGGTGGGGAAAACAGCTGAATAATTACACAAAGAAAAGTTCTTTTTGGCACCTTCCAAAGCTTATTATTTAGTACATTATAGAGATAAGAGAAAAAAATAGAGCATTGCATAGGAGCATATTTGTGCATGGACTATGCTCATATGGAGGTGGGAAAGATTGGATTCACTGAAAAAAACCCAGTTTGGGTCATGTTTTCTCAGAGGACCATTTGGTGAGAACTCTGCTTCCTGGAAATGGGAGCCAGGATATCTCACCACCCCAGCCCCACATTGAGGACCTCCCTGAGACAAGGCCAAGGTTGGGCTGGGACTGGAAGAGGCTGAGACCCACCTGGCCACCAGGAAATTGTAGAGAGTAATAAGGTCAGCCCTGAGACTCCATTTCTCCAGACTAAACACAGCTACTCCCTCAGCTGCTTCTCACAGCACTTGTGCTCCAGACTCCTCACCAGCTCCATTGTCCTTCTCTGGACTTGCTCCAGCTCCTCAAGGTCTTTCTTCCAGCGAGGGACCCAGAAGTGAGGGACACAGCACTCAAGATGCTGCCTCATGAGTACAGGGGAACAATCATTTCCCTCACCCTGCTGGCCACATTATTTTGGATGTAACCCATGATGCCATCGACCTTCTTAGCCACCTGGACATACTGGTGGCTTATGTTCAGCTGGCTATTGACCAGGTCCTTTTCTGCTGGGATACATTTCTCTTTATGCTAAATAATTTTCTAAGTGGCCCATTCCAGGAAATACATTTTTTTTTTTTTTAA